ACTTCTTTCAGGGATGTGATACTGCTTTTTTTTCTTTGTTCCAGTTGCTTTCTTGAAAAACGTGGAATTTTAAAAGCTGTCTGCAAAAACAAATTGAATGCCTCTAATTTACAATTTATTCTCAACTTCTTGTCTTCTATTTGAATTACAAATACCTAGTATGTCTTTGAGAGTGAACAGGTTGTTAGAGCGGTTTTCATTTGAGTGTCGAAAAGTAATTGGTTTTGCACTTTCTACACGATGCGATTGGCTTAAAAGATTCGCGCCACCTTTTCATCCAATCAGAAGTAAAACCAAAGCCAATTGTGACGCGCTCGCATGCATTTTCCCGCGCTTTGCGTCAGCCACATGTAGTTACTTCGAGTTTTCATTGGTTCAATGTATTGTCTGTGTCCTATGTGATTGGCCAGAGTAATTACTTTGGTTTTGGTTTTACGACACTCAAACGAAAACCACTCTAACATACTTTTCCACAATTTCTTTGGATCCTGTATTCTTAAATCCCATCAAGATTCTATCATTGCATCAATTGGGTTCAATTTGTATATTGGATTTTTCATTTTACCAATGGATTATTGAACCGCCAAACCGAATCAATTTCCGAAGAATGAATTCATTAGTCCGTTAACGACTGGAAACGCTTAGCTGGCATTGACTGTAAAACGGATGAAACTACCTAACAATGCAAGGACGTAAGGCTGAGCCTCATCCTGATAGTGAAATAACCACCGAACGTTGGTCACTTTATTTCAAATAAACAAGATTTTGCGTCCGCTGGGAGGTAGGTGTTTTTACGTTATTGCAGGCTTTGGACATGGGTTGTATGTCCATTCCACTGAAAGCGATATTCCTCAAAGAAGTTACAACGATCACTCAAAATCAATATCAAAAGGGTTTGGAATATAACCACGTTTTAAGGATTTCAGTGAGACGTTCTTCGCATTTTGAAACTTGCGCACAAACCTCTCTTTCCGTCAATTTCAGGTCAGGGTAATTTTCTTTCTCAGAGATGACGAGAAAATCTTTCTTTTGTTGTGTGAAATAATGATCTCTCAAGCCTGTAAGTTGTGAGCTATCCATGAAGGACCTTTCAACATTGTGCTGACCAAAAAATGCTTATTTATAAATGCCAAAGGCACAGAAAATTTACTTGAAGTAGTTCGCAACCCCTCAGCGGCATTTGTTGAGCAAATGACTTGAATAGATCCTCTAGGTCGCATTTCCCTGACATTTGTCCTGAAAAAAAAAAAAACTTTCTATTTACTTCCATTAGTTGTAAGGATATTAAGGACGCGTTTGATTGACCTTTTTCTGGAACAGGACCATATTCTGGATTTTTCCGAAATAGCTGGAATAACTTCTGTTTTGAGATAACTAGATGACACGTGTTTTGTTTATTATCAACAGTGATGTCTCGGGTATTGTTACAAATATCGCGTCAATAAACAACGTTGTTTAAACGGACATATATTGAAATTCTATCATGGATAGTAAGACGGAGGAAAGGTTTGCTTTGAAAGATAGTTTAATTTGTAATTTAGAAAATATTATATTTAAAGAGCACAGGTAAGCTGTTCGCTGGAGTTTCTTTAATATACGACTGAGAAATTCAGGAACAAGAAGAAATATACTAAAGAATTTCTTCTCTGCTCCAGTAGTTATCTTTTTCTGCCGAATAACTCGCCTTCCTCTTTGAAATATCGTTTATTGTCACTGACGGAGTCTGCCATTTTCTTTCTTTGTTTGAAAACTGACTGAGACACAAGGAAAATCAAGTCATTTTGTTCCTTTATTTCAAGTATTATGCTTGCCCGAGTAGAATGTTTGGAATATACTAATTCCAGTTATTCTGGAATTAGAATAGAGGGTCAGTCGACCGGATTTTTCGGATTATTCAATGTATTCCTATTCCAGAATAAGGTCAATCGAAAGCACCTTTGGCTAAACCAAGAATTTAACAAAGGGGTAGAATCTTAGAAAATTCAGTGTGTTCCAACCTTAATGAGATCCTAATAAGGTGCAGGACTGGTGCTGTTGAAGGGGAACCCAGGGGAAGAGTAAGAAGGTTGCAGTGGAAAAAAGTGAAAGGGACAGGGATTTAAAAGGATGTGCAAAAATGGACATGAATAGCCCTTCAGTAGTTCTTGCTTTCTCCAATTTTAAAATCATAGGCCTTTCCGAAAAATACCACGATACCACTCATTAACGCGCAGGTTTAGCCTCGTATTAAAGAAAATCTTGGCAGAGCCGCGAGTGCTTAATTTAAGCCTGGTTTTCACTTTGCCCAAATAGAGTAATCGAGTTCGCTCGTTTTGATTCAAACTTGCAATAGGAACGCCATACGTGCGAATGTAAACAAGCCAAGTAAACAGGCTAAGCGACCCGAATGTCTACCGCGCGCTGTGTCACAACACAGCATTTATCTTCGTTACATACGACCCACAGATAATGCACGGCAAACAAATAGGCAATAGAAAACAAATTTTCTGGAAAAACAATGTACATGGAGTGAAGCAAACTTTGAATAATTTTTTAACTTTCCCCTTTTGAAAAGAATCGTCCTCGTAGCACACGGTGTGAATGGTTTGGCTTATTGCCGAGAGTTTGACAATATTTTTGCTCTCAGTTGTCGAGCGCCAAAGAAGATGTCACGAAAAATTCCATGATCTCGTGCATGAGATAATTAAGGGTAACATTGAACTATTTAAAATTTCATTAGATATTTCTTAAAATCTTTTTGAGCAAAATGATATCTTTAACAAGTTGCATTCCTCCACGGTCGAGCCGTAAAAGAGGCAGAGTCCAACATCTTCATGTGCAAACCGCGTTCACTTTTAAAACCCTTGGGTTAATTAGATTAAATTGTATTCTTTCATATTCATACAAGAACCACGAAAGCGGCAAATTCGAAAGCTTTCACGTGCAAACTGCGTGACAATATCACGCAGTAAGGGCCTCACAATACTGGGATCCCAGCTAACCGGGCTGACTCGGTTGTCATTTATAAAATAACTAAGACAGTACGCGCGCTCTGATTGGCTGAGGGGAGTGTTTGCATGAGAGTTTGTAAACATGGTTTTGACGTGAGATGTTTTGCTTTTCGCGCGCTAATCACGGAGGCACGAATTTGAAAAAGTTTTTTGATCAAAACTCGACAAGTTTACTTTATTTACCCATTCCTATGTCGGCTGAAACTTGGAAAATCTTTACAAACAAGCTGTGTCAACTTTTTTTCGCTTAAGCTGACATTTTAAGCGAGAAAATCCGTATCTTGGAAAGCATCTTTTTGCAAAACAAGAACTGATTACGCGTGCAAGACTTCGTGTACAAGACTTTGCGACTGGTAAGAATTTCTCTTTTAATCAGTGCCATAACAAAGAGTTTTACGTTTTATCTCAGGAAATTTATTTTATAAAAGCAATAGAAAACTTTTTTCCGGTGTTTGCATAGCCTGATATAAACACTCGAGGGATTGGGAGAATTCTCGACAGTTATGCAAACCCTCGACTTCGTCTCGGGTTTGCATAACTGTCTCGAATTCTCCCAAACCCTCACGTGTTTATATCAGGCTATGCAAACACGGAAAACGTCTTCAATTGCAAAGTTGATTTTTGTTGCGTTTAACTAAGGTGCCGAGATCTCTGCAAAGCGAGCTAGTCCGGCTTATGTAATCAGGCCCTTTGTTCTATAGCCAGATTTTACGCCCCCCCTTGACCTCACCGATTTTTCAAAATTTCAAAATGCAGCCTTCTACAAGTTAATGCACCGTTAACCGAGAAGACCTGGGGACGAGGTTGAGTTGTTTTCGTTGTGAAAACTAAAATGGAGGACACTTCACTCGTTTCAAGAGTAAGACCTACAGCTGGAACTAGGCGAAATAATGGCTAAAAACATAGCAAAAACAACAAGAAGACAACTTAGAGGGCCACATCTGCTATTTGGAGAATATTTGCCGAGCTGGACAAACCTAAACGTACACTATCGAAGATGAACTGAACATCGGTTTCAAGGTTTTTAAACTAAGTTTTTAAACTAGGAATTATTTTGAATGAATAATAAAGCAATTAATGAATTCGGCTTTCGTAGGATATGAAAAATTAAGCAGATCTCTCCTCCTCGATCTGCTTAATTCTTCATACCCTACTCAGCCTCATTCATTAATTGCTAAATAATTGACTTAAGTCAGGGAGTTCTCATACTTTGGACACAAATATTTCAGGAAAATTCCATATTTTCATATTTACATATTTCATATTTACATTCCACATTCACATTCATATTTACAGCCACAACTTCTAGCAGTAATAGTTGCCCATTCTCTGAAAACCAGTACCTTCTTTTTCTATGAAGTTTGCAAACTTGCTGAAGACAATTAGCCCAAGTCGTATGAGAACGTAAGGACCTTGAACAAGAAAGCTGTCAACAACACAAACCTGTAAAATATAAAAGAAAAATGAAAGGACATTATTAAATTCAGCTTACAAGTAGCATTTCTACTGTTGGCGTTGGATATATAAACACAGCCCGCAATTCCTTGCATCAGTACAGCGCGAGGAAGGGCTTGAAGTATGTATATACTGCTGGCAAATAATCTTCTTTCAGATACGATAATTGGCGGTAATAAATTTTTACAAGGCCTAAAGTTAACCAATAAGTACTGTTGTTTCTGTAAGTAGGCTTTGTATTATTGTTTGCCCAGACATGTTGCGTCGCATAATGAATATGGCTGATGTTTCAACCAGTCAAACAGCCATATAGCTGTCAGCAGCGAGTTTAGCTAAATATCATGGGTAGTGGGTAGTGGGTAGAGGTAGTGGGTCGTGGGTAAACGTCGTGGGTAAATTAAAAAAGTTTTCCGGAAGAAAAAATATAAATATAAAATTAAATAACAAAAGTTGTAAAATTCATGAAACGAAAATCTCCGCTTACATACCAGGAGTCCTATTCCTCTTCCCCGCGGTCACAAACGGACACAAACGGACACTAAAAAGGCATTTACTATAGGCGAAAAATAAAAGAAAATCTAAGCACTATGTAAACCGTGAAGCAGGCTAAAGAAAAAACTGGGGACTGAACTGCTTTTTCTCGAAGATTCGTGGCTGAAACGTCCTTTCAGTTTAAGGAATGATATTCAGAATCGTTACAGCAAAGATTTTGCACTCAAACCAAAAAAAAAATTGAGAAAATTATATTTCCGCACGGCAATAAAGTTTACGTACCTATACAGCCTAGCCTTAACTTGAAAGATTGAGCATGAAGGTGGTAAGAGACCTAAAACTTCTTTAAGAGGGACTTCTATCCAAAAATATGAAATAGCTCAAAATTGTCCTTTTTTCCCCTCACTTCCCTCCTTTTTCCCACGGTGATCGCATTTCATCGTGTTAAAAAATCTTCGCTGATCATTGGAAATGTATAGCGAAGTTATAGTAAGCAGCTATTTTCATTCAGTGAGTCAGAGCTGTCCCATACCCTCTACAAATTGCACGTTTCGAAAATGATTTTACGTCTGTTTCGTTTATTTCGCAGCGATCGCTCAGGGATGATGGATAAATCTTCGGTCTTTTATATTTTTTTTATACATTTTTTTACACATATGTTGTGAAAGGGGAGTCAAGTCCAACGTGGCTAAGGAACTATCAGGAAGAGGAAGAACAAGAAGCAGCGAAAAGGGCAATCAAGGAGTCGGAGATGTTCGTTTCATAAACATTTTACAACTTAATTTTTTCTATCTATTTTTTTTTAATTGCTTTACTTTATCATTTTTTTCCATACCTTTTTTACCCACGAAATTTACCCACACCCACGACCCACGACCTCTACCCACTACCCACGCCCCACGACATTTAGCTACACTCGTCAGCAGTCATTTACTGTCAAAAACAGTACACTCACTCAGACGATCAAATGTAATAACAGGCTACTTATGTGAGAATTACTGCGTCAACTGCTACTTACCAAAGTCCAAAAATCAATGTAATGAAACATCCAAATTAGCCAGTCACGAAGGATAATCTCATTTTTGTTACATGTTTTTCCTGTCTGAACGGTATAAGCTTTCGTGATCTGTTGGAAAGATGCCTTCTGCAAAGAAAAAAACAAAAAAATTTTTAAATGTACTTTTTTTTTTCGCATTTCATCAAATGGTCATTTTTTGCTCATTTACCGTGTTCCACAGCGTGACGTTTGCGTTAAAGTCGTATCTCTAAATCAATGTAATGTGAGCGTCCGCAAATACTACCAAGGCGTACTGTATGTGAAGTAATTAAATAAATAAACAGATAAATAAATAAATAAAACAACTATCAACTATCAAAACAAATATCGCTTTCCAATTTATTTGGCCTGGATAATATCTTGTCCATTTTGCATCGATTTTCTGCCAATTCGCTTGCCAACGTGGCCGCGTGAAGCTTTCAAGGACCGTTATATGTGTTTAACATTTAATATATTAACGGTCCAATATTTAAGACACACGCGACTACATCTGGTACTTTCCCCTACACTTCTTTCGTGCTAAAGCCGCTTCCTGTATACTTCACAACAGAATAGAGCACAGTCAAGGCTTTTTTATTTGTTAATTAAGAACTTGTGAGTGAAGAGCAACCGAGCATGTATATGAAAATTGCGCTATATATATTGTAGATTTTTTAACACGTCTCGTTTCCTTAGAATGTTGTAGCGTATAAAATATACGGCCGATGTGAAGTTTTGCGAAGGGTCATTCTCAGAAGCTGGTTAAAATCCCTTATATAAATCTGTCGCTTGAAATATATCTCATCTCGGAGTCATGGCTGTCACCGCAAATTGCAGACTCTGCGGTGGCTATTCCGGGGTATAACCTTTTTAGGAACGATCCTACGTCTGCGCCTGTTGGAGGGGTCTGTATTTATTTGAGACAAACCATACCGTGCACTCGATTATTTCAATGTGAGCAGCCGGATGTGGAATCTTTGTGGCTTTCTTTGAGGCCTCATAGCCTACCTAGATCGATCTCGTCAATAATGCTTTGTGTCGTTTACCATTCAACAGCTAACGGACAACCCGAGAACGTTGTTCTCTCCAACTACATCCGATCAAATTTAGACAGCCTACTTATAAAACAACCTAATGCACTGGTGGTGATTGCCGGGGATTTTAACCCTACTTCGACGGGCCTCAAATTAAAGGACTTGACGCAATCAAACAATCTTAAACAAATCGTAAAATTTAACACCAGAAAAACAGGAACCCTGGACCGGTTTCTTACGAATAGACCTGCTATTTTTCAATTGTTTCAACTACCTAAGATAGCGAGGAGTGACCATTTTATGATTTTAGCAAAACCAATAACAAGTAGCGCGTAAGCACATGTAATTCAAAAAGTGAGGGTGCGCGATTTACGGGATAGTGCGTGGCGTACGTTTGGGCGTTGGCTGACTAACAAGAACTGGTCGCAGTTGTCTTCGGCAGAATCATGTAAAGATTAGTTTCACATCTTTATTACCGAGCTACAAAATGCGG